GTTGTAGCTAATAAACATTGCTGGACTGAATCTCCATGGTCTCTTGGAGTTCCTTGGGCTAGGCCTGACATCAATCTTCCCAGACTGAAACCCCAGTCTCCCAAAGTCAGCCAGCCACAACGGTGTGAATTCCTCAGGGAGGTGCCAGTCTCATCCTCTTATCTCTCCCTCGCTCCTCAGGAGACGAAAGAGCATGTTTTCCTCCCTGAAAACTTCATAATTCCATTCCATCACAGGTAGGTTGAGAATCAGCAACCAGCCCAAGATTGTCCACTAAATGATATGGGAAGGCATGGATCTGAAGTTTGGACAGTCAATCCACCACATGATGTGAGCTCCTGAATGATGCAAGGAACTATTTCTCATTGAGTTGCATCCTTCCCTTCCATTGTATTCCGAGTACCTCCATCAACATTCTGATATTCATAATAAAATCTAAGAAACGTGATAGCTTTTAAAAGTCATCCCCAAGCAAACCATCTGCCAATGAGGAGACATTGGCACTTGAGGAGGACACGTCCATGCCTGGTGTACAATCCAGCGGGTCACAAATACATTCCTTCTGCCAGCCCAGCTTGCAAATCAGTGAAATAAATAGGCACAGCAGTCCCAAGAGGATGATTCTGCTGACAAATCTTTGAGCAAAAATTCTAGGGAACTGCCCTGTTCTGCTGAATCCTGAACGGGAAAAGAGGGGGGAAGAATGTGTTGTTTAATCCCACCAGCTTAAATAGGCTATTGATTCAGCAATGGAGAAAGGGCCCTTCCTGGTGGCCCAACAGCCAGCAAAGATGCATGGGGGTTTTGAGAAATCAGCGTGTCCAAGGTGACCTGTTCTCACACTGGGCTCCCCTCTGGCTTATCCTTCTCCAGTTGCCGGACCACCTTGACATCGTATGCCCAGGCTTGGTTCGTACCTTCCCCAGCTGTGTCTGTGTGAGTCCAACTGGGGAGAGGAAAACGCCCAGCCACCACACGGGCCTCTTCTGGAAGTTCCAACAGTAGCTTTTTCTCCAGAAGCATCAGCTAGGAAGAGAAGAGGAGGAGAGAGTTCCTTCTGAAGGATCTATTTCTCAACAGGGAATAAAGACAGACCAGTCAGGCACTTTCCTGGGCTACAGCTGAAGCTCAAGATGGCCTTGGTTTGAAATGGAGATGTGATAATGGCTACCAGCTTGGCTGGCTTCAAGAAAGGGTTGGACCAATTCATGGTGGTCCTAGGGAGCAGTGGGACTGCTCCCAACAGCCATCTGTTGGGAGACTGGTGGGCTTCCTTCTGCAGTTGGTTGGCCACTGTGAGAACAGACTTCTGGACTAGATGGGCCAAGGGTCTGATCCCACAGGACACATATTCTTGCGCAATCATTAAGTTCTTAGGTTGTTGCAAATATCCCCTTGTTTCACTGCACTCAAAGACTAGGCCCACCTGAGATCCAAGGGATCCCCACCCTTTTAGCCTTCCGGTAGACCATGAAGACCTGGCTCTTCCCCCAAGCTCTGGGCTAGGACAGGGGTTGAGCTGGGAAGTTCTTTGGTCTGGCAGAAAGGTGGTTTTGTCTTTATTTTTATGGACTGTTGTGAGCTGCCTAGAATCATTCGATGAGATAGGAGGCCATATAAGTCTGTAAAGAAATAAACTCACACACTATGCTAAGCCATGGTTTGCTTTACCTGTGGTTTGTTAGCTAGCCACAGTGCTTGGGTCCACCCAGACTGCTGTGCTAGAAATCGTGACTTAGAAACCCACAGGAATGGCTTCATTCAACACGCTAAGCGAAATCCAAACAAACCCCTTGATGGCTACAGAGCAGGACGCAAAGGACATGGGCTTTTGACAAATGACACTCTGGGGTCAGCATCGTGAAGCCCACAGGGAAGAGACTGCCTTCCAAGCCCCAAATTGCACTTGTGCCCCCACTCAATTAAACCAAACATATATGGAATTTTACAAAGGCTAAAGGCTAAATCTCAGGAGAGTTCACTGATGCTCTGGTAAATTTATACATTCATCTTTGGTTTATTTGAAACTATCCTCTGTCTGCTATCATTTCGCAGATCCAGATGGCTTACAACGGCCAACATTCAATTTAAAGTTCAGCATAACAGTTATGTTTATTGAATGATGGTGAGAATGTTGAAAACTTGCAAGATTTAGAGAGGGTGGGAGACCTGAACATTTGGACGAGTTTCCAAAAGATTGCTGGTTCTTGCTCAGTTTACGGATGCCTGTTTTGATTTAAAGTGATTTTTCTTTCTTGATATCCGCTTTCCCCCTTCTGCACCCCCAAGGGAATTCTCTGGGAATTATAGTTCAGCGAAGCTTCCGAGCCTTGGCAAACTGCAATTTTCAGCATTTATAGTGGGAACTTCCTGATTGAAGCTGAATGAAGGGCAGAGAACAAGCCTTCCCCAAAATCACATGCCCCCTCCCCAAATCCTCCTACTGTTGCTAAAAGCAAAGCAGAAACAGGCAGTTCAGAACAGCTCAAGAGCATTTATGGGTCTGGCTAAAATTCCAAAGGACTTTGTGCTTGAATCATGAAATGGTCATAAATGCTGAATGGAGTCTTATTTCCACAGGTCTCCCTGTTCCAAAATTCTTAACACTATGCTCCATGGATTGTACCCTCCTTTCCAAGAAGACCTAGCTTCATTTTTTTAAAGCTGTTTCTTCCTTGAAAGGACAAAAAACCAGTAATTTGCAAACAGGAATTGTTCTTACTATAAAGATGCCCGGTTGCAGTTAACAATTTGCCATGTAGTCAAATTTCTAGGCCAACTGGATCCAATTTATTCTCAGTGGCTACCATCTAATCCAGTGTTTCTCAACCTTGGCCA